TCATTGAAAGCTCAGGCTGGCAGCCATATCCCTGCAAAACTTGCCTCGCCATGTCTAATTTCAATCAAACTATATGCGAACTCCTATATCTTCTTCAAGAATAAGGCTGTTAATACTATAGTCAATGAGCGTCGTACTGTGTTGCACTCTAGACGTGAAACAGTAATGCGTATTTTAAGCGATCTACAGCTAAGATCAGTTGGTGATGATGCTCACGCAACATTAAACTGAAATTGATAGGATTTTATTTTAGACGTGGCCATGACTAGAAAATAATGGCTTTTGTTTCCCAGCCCAAATGCACAGCGCAGACGGTACGAATCGCGCTTGTTCTTTTTAAATCTGTCATTTATAGTGTTTTTTTAATACCGTTTTCTTCATCCGAGCGTAGATTCTGCTCGAGTTGGCAAATGTCGTACATTATCTAAAAGGTCATAAATAATACATATAGGGTGTTGTAGTATGCACCCAGAGCTCGACAAGTCTACGAGCGCCCCTCCATGATATTAAACTGGTAGGTCAAGCTGGCTTACTTTGTGGCTAGTTACTTTATTAAAAGTCAAACTTGCTTAAAGAGAAGCCGTCCATTAGAATAGTGATAATAAGTTCTAGTTCAGCTATATCGTTTTTTCTGTATCCTTTATCCATGCAGATGACTCTACGAAGTCCAATAATACAATTGACGTAGATACGGAAAATACTTAAAAAAAAAACAATTTTCTGAGACGTTTGTACTCCGTTGTGTGTAAACTACGGTCAGCAGCAGACCACCGACCAAACGAATTTTTCTCGCCGCAGAGACGTGAATGAAAAAAGACAAAAGACCGATGGCAAGCAGTGGAGGCAGCTCGGCAACAGTGAACACTTTGGGAAGATCTACCACCTACCGCTCGCTACGTAAAGAGGCGACCTCTTAATAGTAATATTATTATAAATAATAATTGTAGGGGAGCAGTTTTTGCCGGGGAAGTTGCTGTTCGACGGAAACATGGATGTCCCTTCGTTGCTCTTTCAGAGGCAGAGCTATGGGTGTCTCATGCTTTTCCAGGCACTGCTCGTACAACCCAAGTACTTTCTGACACGGAAACGCAGCAATACAACTATGTCGGGGAGTAGCCCCTTGCATGCTTACGGAAAAGGCTTGCGCTTCTCGACCCGCGCTCGCCACTGACAGTCAAGAACAAAAGGTAAGGACGAAAGAAGAAGGAAAAATAAAGAAGGGAACAGAGGGTCAGCAAAAGAGAAAAACACTGGCTAGGAGAAAGCGACATACTACTAGGATTTGGCAGCCCTGAGATGGGCAACCCTGAGCCACAGGACGTGAAAGCCGTTGTCAGTTTTCAGTGCATTAGTGTTGCGAAGGCGACGTAGGGTCCTCACTCGCGAAAGTCTATAACTGAAGTCTATAGAACGAGGTAAATACTGTCTATGCGTGTGGACCTATTCTAAGTAGCAAGAATAATTGGGTTGTGGTTCGAGTGCCAGCACGTATACGCAGCAAATAGCTACCGTAAGCTTGTCTTTTAACAACGAAAAAGTACTATTTGAAACGCATTTCCACTTAAATACATCTTTATTGTTATCTAAAAAAGGACAAAGTTCTTGTATCATCAATCACTGGTTTAAGACAGTTGAACGTTCCGTTTCACAAAGGCGATTCTAAGAGTGACTCAGGAAATCATATATTAGGGCTTAGTAAAGAATTCCTGCTGGAAAATTAGCAGTAGACAAGTAATACAAGACGAGAAGCGGATTCCGGAAGAACAAAGATGTCACAAATTTATTAATTAGCGACGTACGTTCTTAGTGCTTTCCATATGTAGATTTTAATATTATTATTACTGCTACCATCACGACTCGAGGGTGCGTTGCTGACGCAGCATTTACATATTCAGAGTGCGGCCGAAGTATTTTCGCATACGTTTGCACTTCAAGTTTTTATTTGCTTCCGAGTACTATCAGACTTCAGATTCTTACATGATAGATTTACGCGATACACCGACATTTGAATATCGGTTTCCTGCGCCGTTATAAAAGGGAGCACGTACTTGTCGTTTGTTAAGGTAACGATATCTACGCAAAGTCGTATCTGCGCATGTATTTTTAAGTCTTCCATGGGTCTACTATACCCTCATGCACTTGAATTATTATATTTTTATATCTATATAATCGTTGCAACGGGTGTAAATCCAAAGGATGCGTGTTGTCATTTGAATGCCATTGCCGTACCCTCTTGCCGCTGCTATCAATCCCCCTCGCCTCCAGGGCAGGAACCAGCAGCGCCCGTTTAGCAAAAGCATGGGGTAACCCGGTGAGATTGAGTGACGACCAGATCTACAGCTAAGCTCTAAAAAGGAGCGTTTGTCTCTACCTTTTTTACCTACCCTAATCTAGCTTAGGTAGCTACAGAGCCGTAGTTAAATATGACAGAGCCTATAAATGGGCGGGAGATGCACAGGAGATTAAAGGCGTTCACATTCGGTCTACTCACGCTGATGACGTCGCCAATGAGCTAAAAAACAGTCGCTACTATTTCTATCAACTAGTTGTTATGTCAATGGTAAGGGAGAAGACCAATTCCTCTGTTTCCTCTCTTTATTAAGTGCGTAATAGTGATGCTTTGTCGTGGGTCGGTCGGACTGTTCTCGATGTTGCTGAGCGACCCAGCCACCAGAGTATTAAGTCTGTAGCCACTGAGCAAGACGGACTGTTTCTTCTTCTGGCACAGTTGTGTCCACAAAGTTATTGATACAGAAAATGAACCGATGGGAAAAAAGACAGAATAGGGTGCACGGATGCATCTAATTCGTGTGTTTACGATTTGTAACGAGTAGCAACAAGTCTATACGTTTTTGCCATTTACTGCTGTATTGGACCTCATATTCCCGATATTCAGGTTTGGGAATCCACAGACCTCGACATGCAGACGAGGTCCGTCGAATGTCCAACTGGCATCGAGGCTTCTCATGTTAAACTTAGCTTTCATTCTTGTCTATTAATGCTATTTAAACCCTATGGGTTGTGTTTTTCAAGTCTGGGCGTACGTATGTATCAGCCACGTCGCAAAGATCCCCCCTTTCTCGAAAAGATCGGAGATGGCGCCAGACTTATACCGCTCACAACACCAAGAAAATGAAAAAGCACAGCTATCACTGTACCTGATCGAAAAAGGCTCTTTTTAAACAGACTTAGTCCACTCTTTCATATCCTTAATTCTTCAAATCTGGTTGCCTCTTTTTTTACCAGGAAGATGTTATATTTAGGACAAAAATCAGACATGTTCATCTTTGCACCTGTTAAGGTTTCACTCGCGTATATGGATCAGAAATGGTTTCAGCTGACAAGTTATAGCTTGAACACAATGAAAACAGCGAACATAACGTTACGTTTAATGCAGGCGTACGTACAATAAAAATAATAATAAGCTGAATTAAAAGAGGTCCTACCTCATCAATGTTTCAGTGAATAGATGCGCTGCTCTACAATTAAGCCATGATTGCAGACACATTCCTATTACGGTTACACCATATCTGATGAGCTAGTATTTACCAAATACCTTCCAGTCATTGGCGAAGCCTTATGTTCATCATATTGTTTAGCGCGCAATGTTAAAAAGTCTTATTATCTTTTAGGGAATCGCACATGTAGTTACGGGGAAATCTCGGACTGCTTCTGCTCGGTTTTTGAAATACCAACCCCACCACGGTATGCTAAGTAGTTACGGTACGATAATGGCCCACTGCGTGCCAGAGAGTTCACGCAGGTGTAGCTGAGAACATTCAGTTCCCCTCCGACCATCTCCATTGCTAAAAGTATGTCACAGAAAAAGTTGAGAGTCATCACCTGTTTCTCGGTAGGTATTGAATTCCATGCCTGCAAAGATGGTTTAAATATTGATTGATTCATTGATTTCTCCCGTCTCGGTTTCCGCCGTCTCAAGTCTACTTCCGGCCGAAGTCTTGGCGACATCTGCAGTCCTAATCAACCTGCAGGCCCAACATCCAACAGATGCAAATGGATTGCCATCTCAGCTGGCATCAAATAGACGTATGCGGATCGAAAGCAGGTTTTACTCTCGGATAACCAAATACCACTAGCAATAACACATATAACAGACGGGATATACATTTCGTTTTCGGATGCTACAGCCACGGGGCGTATAGGAGAAGCAGAATAGATTTTGTTAAATCCGCTTGAACTGCACAAAAAGGTGTAAAAACCTTGTAGGCATATAAGGATTCTGTGCTTTCAAATTGACAAACAACAAAAGAGGAAGCTAGTCATGCAGGTATTATAACCTATTTTGTTAAATGGGACATGCCCTTGCTGCAAAGATCTTTTTAGCCTAGGTTAACGTATTAGCTATCACTGCTGCATAATTTACGAGTGCTACCCGTCTAACTATCATTACAAGCTATGCCCCTGCAAAATAATTCATACAAACTAGGTAAGACCTTGCGAACCAGATACAATTCAAGACGTAGGTTCTTAGCAACGATAAGATCCCTAGTTGATTAATAACCAAATGTAATGATATCACGCACTTCATTAATAAACAATCAGTTTCCCTATAATACACTTCACATAGCATACCCTGCATGTGCATACGCTGCAACCTAGATCCTACAGGTAAATTATATATATGTACCTAATTATTGTCTATGGCAAAGTATATGTTTTAGATGAATCTGTTTAAAACAGTTCATATAAGAGCCGACGTAATGCTACTTTCAAAAGCCACTATGGTAAGTTTGCCGCTGATCGCCGTAGCAGACGGAGCTCACGTGCCGCGAACAAGGTTTAAAGGTCGGCCTACTAGGCCCGCCGATCAGTCTGTTTTTTAAAAACAAGAGAGATGTCGAAATAATTTTGCCAGGCCAGTCCTGATAGAGTAGCTCTGCTATAAAACGAATAATGTCAGATTTATAATTATCACAGAATATTACACTCGTCACTACGACCACGCAGTAATACATAAACAGGGATTCTATTTTACTTACATGATAACTCGGCAAGTGGTTCCTCTTGACCAGCATTGGCGCCCGATCAAAAAGACGGGCAAAAAGAAAACGTTGAACGCCGTGCAGAGCCACGTGGTAAAGAAGGGCGCGTCAAATGGCAGGCCGTCCGCTACATCGTTGCCTTGTGTTATTTCGTCACTTTGGTTGCTAGACGACCCGAGCTCTAACGTAGTCTGGCCCGAAACCAGCCCTGTATCATCTAAGAGGCGCGTCCGATTTCGCGGTCGATTGTATGTGCCCTGTTAGGGAAGGCAAACACATCACCAAGGTAATAACAGTCACCCTAATAACCATAATAGAATGATGACACGATTGTTGAAGGTGTACCTAAACTCATCGGTACCTGTTGATGAGGGCAATCATTGCAGCCATAGTCTGCATCAAACGTTTTTGTAAAACATCCCTACAATAACAACATTGAACTATTAACATGGCATGTTTTTGACGTTTTTGCATATCCTTAGTCGGATGAAATTACACTGACTATTAAAAACAGTATGCTTTATATAGAAAAACCTGAAGGACCTAACCGGTATAACCGAGAATGTTAGCAATTTTATTAACAGTTAATAAAGATTGCAGCTGTGCCCCTCTTCGATCCACCGCTTTTCAGTTACATAATCCCAAAGCCGAAATCATTTCGCTATCGACGGCGTAAGAGCTACATTACGAACTTAAGAATGTAGAGTTTAGCTGCATCGACTGGACAGCTAGAAATGTCAGATTTCAACAGCTGACAGATTTGTTTTTCCCTGGCCAGCGCGTAGCCTATGTATAATAAATGTAATACTTCATTTAGTGGTATAATCGTATGTACACCTATATAATAGTATCGGTGAGGAATGAAAGAGAAGTAACGCTTAACCTCCGATAGGCTAGGTGAAGTCCATTCAAGACAAAGCACATATCACAAAAATGGAAGTCCCAGACGGCGATTTTCTCCTTGAGATTGAAAATATTAAATTCAGAGCTTTACCTCTGAAGCGAACTCGTCGAGGCATTCTGGAAAAAAATTTTTCAAAATTAACCAAGTAGGGCACATAGACTTACGTTTTGCCTTTAAACTGAATCGACGATCTATGTCTAATTTTTTTCCCTAAAAATTGAAGAACTTAAAAGTGGTAAATATCATACATGATCTCTGTGCTTAATCATAGTTTTAATTCCTTAGCCCCCTATCAGAGCCCCCCTGGATGGATGCTACTTGGACGTGAACTAATTAAAACTCTGATGGTTCCACCACTGAAAACCAGCGTATTTAGGATTATGGCAGTGCTGATTTATACCTCTAGCAACGATCCGTCGCGCAGACACGCGTATTATCCGATTGTCCAATATGTTTCGTGTTGTCAGTATCTAGTACCTGTTTTGTGTTCATAATCTCTTGTGTTTCATAATCTGGTGATCTTTCAGATTTATTCGGGCAGTCCGACTGGTCGCTAGCGATTTAAGTGGGCATATGCAGAGATGGAGTACGTCGCAGTGCGTCGTAGGGAAAGGACAACAAGAGGCCATCTTGGAAAGGTCGAGTTATTAGAGTCATATCAAACCTAATACTATTCGTTGATTGACTACAAGCCAATAAAACACGTGACTTCCAGTATTGCTGTTGGGAATAAGCGCTAACAAATAGCTGAAGATCAAAAATGATACAAACAAAAATGCCTGATCTGACGCTAACTAGTTGACCTGAATTATTTGTTTGCGTGAAAGGGAAATATGCTATGATATTGTACGTTTCATTGAAGAAGGCCTTAATTAAACTTCAATTTCAAAACGGAAATTTCTGTGGTAAAGGCTAACTTATTCTGTGTGTACCCCATTAGTTTCGCTAGTAACTGATGGGCGGATAGGATGCTTGTCTATGCCACCTATGCGACTAACTGAAATCAAGCAAATTTCAAAATGATCTTGTTCGAAATATAAAACAAGTAACAAAGCATAAGTGTGACATTTAGTTTCAAACATGGCCAAGAATGGTTAAACCGCAGCGGTAACGTCTCGTGATCGATTTAGCGAGTGCGGATCAACTTCCGACACCTATAATCTGATTTGTCTGTCTCTTACTTTATATTTCAGCATAATAGACTGAATAATGTATGCTACACAAATTCGATGTCGGGCGTCTAACTAATACTAACTACAACTGACGTTTACTCCAGTGTCTATACAACTGTTCAACATGGTAAAAACTATGTTTACGTTTTGCTATTTATCTTCTCGATCAATTAACGGAGTACTACGAACTTTTATAGCATTTTTTACCGTGAATTCATTCCAGCCGTCTGTATTTAGTAGTAGACTATCCAAATGCTATTTTGCCGTACTACTGCCTTACCCGAGATCAAGACTGCAATACAATAACTACGTTATGACCATCAGCATCACCTGTTTATAATGTGAAGATCACAGCGGGAGTTTGGTTTGCAGTTCCCACAACGATAGAACATATGCGGAACGCCACCGGCAACTTGTGTGCTTGCTTATATGCGAATTGCTCGGCATCGCCGTATTTCTCTTCTTTAGAAATTTTACGAGTTTCTATCGTAGATTTTCTGTCAGGCAACAGCAATGGCAGCTCCGACCATAGAGCATTCTTACAGGCCGCCTTCATCTCATTCAACTTTTCTCCAGCTGAGAGATACCGTGAATGAAATTGGGGGCTCTCAAGTTTTTTCGATCCGGGGGTGTTTCTTTCAGCACGAAATTTGCATTTTTGCTATTGCCTTAAGAATTTCTGTGTGTAAACTATTAAAATAAAAATTTAGGGACTTGCTGAGAATGACACTGCGGTCACTTTTCACAGGTGCCGGTAGCTCAGAACTTTTGACAACGGTTCTTGCCACTGTTTTCTTATTAGGCACGATGTCGCAGAAGGTGCTCGAGTAACGCAAAACGTATTCCTATCTTGTGCCTAGCTCTAGGAAACCATCTGTGTTGTTGGCGTCGTTGCATTGTCGACACAAATAAGCTAAGATAGAACCAATACCACCCGAAGAGCTGGTTTCTGAACTTATTCTGCAAGTCCTGCAATCGGCCATAGCAGATATACGTCGGTAAAACGTGAAACTGGTTTGAAATGCGCGCCAATTAAAATTTTCCCCAAAATCGAGCTCTGCATTAAGACTCACGAGAAACAGTAAAGCATAGTACTAAGAGCACTGAAAACCTAGTCCATAAGCGATTCCTAAGCCTCTTAGTTCATGTAGAGATCAGAGAGCGAGCTTAAGGGAACTGAGGGGACCGCCTATATCGTAAAGCTGGTGCATAAGTAATGTCCGTTCTTATTTTTCTGTCTCTTTTTTTAAACTTTTCGCTTAATCATTATTATTTTCAATATTGTTACATTAGTACTTATGGGCACTGCCCTTGGATCGTTGGCAGCCGTGTCTTAACATGTTGATTTTAGACGTCTTCTCGTTGCAAAAAAGCAAAAGATAGTGTTGATAGCCAAATACGAATGTTGTCTGTTAGACGTGTCATAACGTTTGACGTCTATGCTCTAACTATTGCTAAAAAACAAGCTCTGCTTATATTTATTTATTCAGGTCCTCATAAATAGAACAGACAGCTCAATTTATGTGGAGAGCCGTTACGGCGAACCTGTTGCTGCATTCAACTGATGGGGCAGAATTGTAACTTTTCAAAAAAGCCTTTTTTTGGTATTGGACAACTTTTGAGTGAGTTAGGTTGCTAGGAATTAGGTTATTTTTTTTTATTGCGCAAATCCAACACACGATCACAAGTGAAATGAATTATGTGTAATACTCCACATAACACGTTTAACCCTCAGTCGATTAAAATACTCTTATCAGTTTCCCGGCTTAGAGGTTGTATTCTTATCGTGTGTGAACTGGAAATTGTTTCATTTTTTCTGCTCTCAGATCTACTTCTGTTGAAGATGTATGCCCCTTTTTCTATTGAATTAACACTGCAAAGTCGCACCGACCTAAATCTGAATGATTTTCTAAACAGTCAACATAATTTGTCCTAGAATGCCCCTTGAAGTAATCGAAATGCATGATGTTCTGCGTCCAAGGTGCCGATTAAAGGGGCCTGTCCTGATCTTGCTTGACGATCCGGCCAGATCACTAGTCGGCAAGCAGGAAACGTTTGTTGTGACGCCCCATAAGCCAATACAAGACCTGTATCTTAAACGCCTAGTTGCATGTTCATGTTTACGAATTCACAATTAGCTAATAAAGATATCTATCTATTTATATGTTCGCAGTTCGTTATATCTGAATGTAAGCTAGTGATATGACCGCTTTACATAAATATATACCAGCATGCAATCTATCCCAAAAAAAGCTATCGTTTTCAGTATAGATGTGCGTCGACGATGAACGTCCACCAATGTGGTTGAAAGTAACCTTGGTAGGGTCCCGTCACCGCCCACAAAAAGCCCAATCTCTCGGCATCGTGAGCACACGATTCATAAAGCTTTTCCGACAACAATGTGAGAAACATCGATAGGCGAAATGGTTAGCTGCTGCTAACCTAAACCCTACCTTTAGACAGTGTGCGGCTCCGACCCAACTGAGCGCAATTAGTACCGTCATGAGGACTCCGGCAGCCACTTTTCTCGAATTCTCCGTACAACATTTGCGACTCACGGCAATTTCTTGTGCTAGTTGTTCACCCACAAATGCTGAAATATACATGTAATAAAAATGCACAGTAGAAAATATCTATAATCGCAACATAGCTATTTCCCTAAACCGACCTGAGGTAATCGAATCAAGTCACCGTCAGATTGCCAGAGGAAAGGTACAGAAAAAAAAAACAAGCGGACTTCATTGTGACCTTTTTTTCGTGCCTTTTCACATAATTTTCTCATTCACAGCTAAATTATTTTTTGCTTATTATTATTATTAACGGACGAATCGGAAAAGTCATGTTTGATGCTGTGCATCTTGAGGTATTTTACTTTGTAACAATACCGTGGGATGATATTATTTGGTAGAAAAGTCGTACATTGTATATTTTTTGTACCAACTATGATCACTCGTTTTAGTTGAAATAGTCTGACTTCGATCTACTTCTGTCCAGTTTGGCGGATAGAATTAGTATTCTTTTTAGTAGAATTTTTTTTTTTTTATCAATTTATGTGAAACTTAAACATTTTTTTTGTAGCCAATTTTCTTCACATGGTTTTAATTTGTTTGGAGAGTGGATGCTTAATTTCTAAACGAGCTCATGGCTGATCATGTGTTTATCTATCCCGATTTTTGTAAAAGTTTCACCAGTTCTTTCTGTACGTTACCTACCACCACTACACGGACGATTTTTGACGTCGAGCTTTCTAGAACTCAAACCAACTTTGGCCAGTTTCTTCCGATAGTTTACATTGAGCATAAGCATCACAATTTTTTTTATAGGCATGGCCTGTATTTGTGCCTTTGTTGTAATGAAATTGCAAAATGTGACGATTTTTTAAAAATTCACACTCATCTTCAAGGCAGGTCTTAGTATGGGTCTTTGAAAAATTCTACTGCAAATTTCAGCTTTCAAATGACATTCGTATTAACTCAACTATATATATATATATATATATATATACACTGTAAATGTGACTTCTAGCTAATTAAATGTCAATACTATGTCGACAATTCTATAGCACAGTAATGATGTAGGGAATAAAGACTAAATATATAGTTCGAATTTAAAAAGTATATTTGTGTTATAAACCCAAAAATGTAAAAATGAGTATTCTGGGATAATTTTGCTTGCGAAAGGTTAAATTTCCGCACAGTACATCGCGGACAGGGTGCGGCAAACGATAGATGGAAGTATACTTTCTAGACTTTGTTTGCGCATGATGCTAGCTTTGTACGAAATAAGTATGATCCCGATTGCTTCTTACGGAATCCGAATTGTACGGAGATACCTCTCCTCGAAATCGCTCAACAAATTTGGCCGAGAGTGAAGCTTCTTTCTTGGACCATGCCAAAGGCTTGCATCGCTCCTCATGGAACAGACACGTGTGCCTTCTAAGCGGCACGCCCATATTTATAGAGGGCATGCAACGCAAATTCAAGCTTTCTACCACCCTTGTCTACTCGGAATTGATCAGCACATGGGAGCAGGCGACAGGGAAGATCAGTCCTGACTTTTATGATACGGAAGCTATGACTCACGAAGCCTGGAAAGGCCTAGACAGAAAAAAGCGGTACGCCGTTGCATCTTATTTGAGACGATGGGCTTTGATTCTTTGACGGCCACGTGCACCTGTACGAGATGTCGTGCAGTACATTTCAGATACCATGCGGCATTATATATTACACTACCTTTATTAGCAGTTTTTCCGATCGGGCACATCGGGATTTAAATTTTAAAAACAAGTTCAATTCAACTATATTTTTCAAAAAACATGAACTATACAAATAGAAGTTCAAATGGACCTCAAAGGAAACGGAGTGCTTAGATTTTTCTTAATAAAATAAAGTAATAATAACTTCGCTAATGCTTAAAATAGCACAGCTTGCTAAATGTAACGGTTTTTTTTTCATCAAAAGCCAACCTAAACAATAAATCTACCACAAAGCTTTCAGTACGCAATAATACGTAGATAAATGTTGGCCCTTATCGCACATTATTTATGCTGTATTATCTAGCCATACATCTACTCCTATAATGAACAAAAGAAAAGAGAACTTGGACGTTAAAACAGACAGAACGGGTTTGGCAGAACATAGTGTATATGTTCCGTAAAATACCGTTTTGCCACTTAATAACAACCTTCTTTCATTTAATCTATGCGTAAAATTCGATTTTTATCTGTAATACTCCCATTGTTATCCGTGAACAGTACAGAGATTATGCATTGCAGCTTAATCAGATGGGATCATCCACACGTCTACAGAAATGATTCAGTATATCCGTTTCGGGCCGATCGTCTATACAAACACAGACACACCTGAATTTCTCTGACGCTCATCTAAAAGCGGTTCATTAATTCCCGGCTCCGTTCTCGATCGTACACTATTATGAAAATAACGGTCACGGGGACGAATACAGCAGAGATGTCCGCATAGTGTTGGCATAGATTCCCGCCTGATAACACTAATACCTTGAGCTCGCCTTTGGTGCTCATCACTCGAACGGCTATCCTGGCAAGCACTGGACACGATTACAGGGTCCGACTTACAGCTGAGATTAACATGTACAGACAAAACCATGTTAGCATTTGTACTTATGCACTGTTTTTGTTATGATCCCAATCGCGCATGTATTGTAGAAAGACTAGGCACGTCCTTTCAACCACAAATCGTCTTATTGTTAGCATCTAGCTTGCTGTGCGCGCACGACGCTTCCTACTATGGTTAGTTCAGTTATGTCGTTGCAGCAATGACCCAGCTCATGGCCGTGATATCGGGAGTTGTGCAAAGCCTGGGAGACACCGTTCCCTTTTGGGTAACGCCCGTCCATTGGTTGCACTAACTGCTATAACCTACGGTTGGCACAAAGCCAGCCTTCTTTTGTGTCCTGGCTTCGGTTTCCTAGTGTGTAAGGGTCGAATTGGCTCGTGGCTGCATCGGTGGGGACAGCAGGCTCAGACGAGAAGTCTGGGCCAATCCTCACAATCGATTAAGCGACATTACGACCCTTCGAGGGACCAACGATACCATCGCCTTGCAACGAATCTCGTTATGCAGATGCGCACTCACACAACACCAGCAGCTATGGCGAAAAAAAAATAGCAATGCTAGGTCTGGTCGAAGGACTTAGGATTGCAAGTGAAACGGCTAGGCAAGTCGAGGGAAAACACGATGGGGTACGGCTCAGCAATTGCCACCGGGGAGAAATTTGGCTGTCTACCATTACTACAACAACTGCTAAATTCGACTGGTGGTAACGTGTCTAGGGGCCAAGCAAACAACTTTGGAGCGTTGCCAAGACTCGGACGCGGTTTGCGCGGCACTTGGGGGCTGACGAAGCAAGGTTGCTATTGAAATCGATGCAACATTTGCTGGCAGCACTGCAGCGAGTGACGACCAAAAATGGGTCTATCGATCACTTCAGGAAAGCTTAGTGGAAAGCTCTATCGATGATGGTGCAAGGCTAGGTGGATCTGCTAGCGTACAATGTTTCTGTTGCTTATTATTATTATTATTATTATTATTATTTGATAGCATCGAAACAGCGTGAATTTGGGACCTCGCCGTTCAAGTAGAGGAGGCACAAACAGCGATCTTCAGACGCCACGTCAACTCTGAGCAGACGAGACGTACTCACAGAGATTGTAGCATTGGCAATTGCGCCATATGAGCGGTGGCGCTACTTGTCAGTAGCGAAAGATGAATGTACGACTATTAGCCAAGCGGTTCGTAGTGGCTGTGGTCAACTTTAACCCAGGATCACGGTGGGCAATAGGACAGCAGAAGCGGCAGCAACACTGGAAGGTTAATTAGAGTGACACAAGCAGCGGCAATACAAATGGCAACAGGAGCAACTTCAGTTGGATAGGAGTGCTAGACGGTGCGTCAACAGACGCGGTAGCAGCAGGCCAAGCGAAAGCCGGATAGGTCGATATTTATACTGCAAAGCCCTTGCAGCCTGTTGCCTGCTGACGAGAGTAAGAGCGGCGTTGTGGACATCATTAGGAGGCTTCGAGCGCCGGACACCATTGCTGCTTTGTTGTATCGGCCGCAATTGCACCAGCAGTAGCAAAGGCAGATTCGGACGAGCTTGGACGGCGCTTTCGTCTCTATCCGACCGCATGACGACCGGATCGATCACCTTTGCTCTTCCCAGCCTCGACTAATTAGTGCGCAGTGGCTATAGCCGAACTGTCACAGTCAGGTTCCCTTAAAGAGACTGCTTCACTTGGTGCGTTCGCTACTTCAGCCTTTGCTGTTGCAGAAGTAGGAGCTTAATCCTCTAACGACACTGCTTGTCAATTTCCGTTCAAGCGTTTGTTAACTTCTTATATATATATATATATATATATTTGTGTTTAGAGCAATAGAATTGTGTTGTACGAACGTCTAAATTTAATTAATGCGTCTGCTGTTAGCGGATATTTCGCTGCAGTAATGACTGTTTGGCGGTTCATCGGCAAAAGCAGATTTGTTGTCGTACTCATGATTTGGTTCCTGGTGCCGACCGTCAATTGTCACTTCGTTCTTCTTGGATTACTTTTTAACTTACGGGTCTTTTTTGGCCGAAGGCTTTTTTGCGGCGCTGTTTTGTCCTTTAAGTGCTTAAGAGGGGCAAGGAGAGTTGTCGGCCAATGCCAATATACTGCTAGTCGTGCGTTCAACGAACCTTTCCGTAACAAATCATGGTATTTGCCATGGTCCACGGACATAGATCATTGTAGGTCTTTCAATTTACTAAAGCTATAGTTATAGTTGCAGTTAGTTAGACAGTTAGGGAGGTAAATCCACGATCTGCGCAAGTATCTCGACGCCCTCCTGCTCTCTCTACGCATCGTATCCGTTTGTTTGCGCGCCGGCCAGTAGGTCATCGATACTCTTGAAGTCCGTTCACTTGGCAAGGCAAGGCCTCGTCTCGCGTTCCTTTGTATGCTCATATAGATCAATACGGCAGCACACAGAAAGTTGCCCCATTTCTTTTACAAACGTGTCTACAGTCACGAAAAATTGTCGTGGTAGGCCGCCGATTCGTGTAACTTTGATTTATAAC